TGCCAGGCGTGGCTCAGGGATATTCACTGGAGTGGGATCTCGGCGAATGTGGCGCTGGCAACATGCTCGCGAGTCGAGCGCTGGCGCACTGGCGTTCAGCTCCTCGAGGAAGCTCAGGAGTGCTCTCCAAAGCAGAGGGCTCGAGATCTGGCAGTCTGGGAGTCGGAGGCTAGGGCCTAGGACTGTCATGAGAGAATTTGTATACAGGAGAGGAAAACGGAACTCGACATCATCGGGTGCAATACCGCAGCCTGGCAGACGAAACAAGGAAATGCAGTTGCAGGGGCCAGCAAGCTTCGAATGACTTCAGGCTAGAAAGTCCCGAAGCTTCAACTGACTATCCCTCTGCTGAGGTGCTGGCTGCTTGTGTCCGTGCAGATGAGACTACGAAAGTTCTACGTTTCTTTGAGGAGACAGTCTGAAGAGTACGCAAACCACTCCCAAGCTTGTACGATTATATGCAGGAGCTGAAAGGCTCCAATCATCAACCTGATTCCGTGACCTTCAACACCGCAATGAGTGCCTGCTCTGCGGTGTCTTAACTCAAAGCCTGTGAGAATGGGTAGTGGCTGCCTGATGCTGCATGGGCTGCATGTGAAGCATGGTGCAGCACAGGCCTTGCTCTGGGAGACGGCGTTCCTTGGTTGAGTTTGATTGAAACTCCTTTGAGTGCGTTAGGGCTTGATGGGCTTGCTTTCAGATAGAAGGTATGGCCTCGCCAACCTTCTGCAATGTTCCGGCATCACGCCGGATGCTTTCTCCTTGAACGAAGTCCTGGCTTGTGGCCGTTGGAGGACGCTGTAAGATCGCTTCTGCCATTGTTGAGGCTGGGGATCTCCCCTCTTGCGAGTTGCGAGGATGGCCCTGCAGGTGGTCAATGCCTTAAAGGTTCGGCAGACGCCAGTCACATGCGGAAGTCTTCTGAACAGCTGCGCAACCTGGCTGCAAAATTGCATGGCTTTGATCAAATTGCCGTGGAGTATGAATCTTAGTTGCGATGCTGATGCAAGCGAGGAATGGCGCTTTGCAATTCATTGTCTCTTCTCGGTACAGGCCTGGGTGTGTGCGCTGAGCTACAGACAGTTCTAGTCTCTTCTTGCTCAAGCGAACCCACATGTCGCATTGTTTATGCGCAGTCAGATAGCTTTCGCACCTTGATCAGGAAGCTGCCATAGAAGCAGGAACCATGAACTTGAATGCTGCCGGGCTCCCAATTGGATTGTCATGGTCTGCTGCGTTGCGGATATCAGAACAGTGGCTTCTTGGAGAGTGCCGAGGTGGTCAACGTGTGCAGCAGCGTGAGTGCTTGGCGCAGTGCCTTGCTCCTCCCAACGTGCATGGAAGAGAGGACGCTGCCCGTTTTCTGTTGCTCACTCTTGCTGCTCTGTCCTTCCTGCGTGTTTCCAGGAACATCCCCAGCAATTTGATGACGGCAAGCAGCACGTTGAGTGCCTGCGGCGCTGCCCACGAGTGGGAGAGGTGAGCAACCCTGTTTCCTGCAGTCTGATGCTGGAACTTGGCCTTCTTTGGCCGTGTCCAGGGCGTTGTCTTACTTCATGGAGCTCCAGAGGATAAGGCTCTCCAATGAGTTTACTTACGGCCGGGATCTTACCCCTCACAGGTTGCTGGCAAGTCTGGAAGCTGAGTGGTCACGCAACTTTAGAGGTGCGGTGATCTCGGCATGCAGCTCAGGAGTTGCATGATTTCTACGTATATGCCAGCTAAGAACCTTTTGTGGAGGGAAAGCCACAAGTTGCAGGAGGTTGTTGGCTCCAGGCGCTTGGGGTGCTCCATCAGGCAGCCGGGACAGTACTTGCACGGATGATAACTAACCCCCTTGCATGTTGGGCTACTGATTCTGAAGGCCGCTGCTTGTGGAATTGAACTGGACAACATCATGCTCAACGCTGCCATCTCTGCAACGGAACCTGCGAGAGTAGTAAGATAAAGCCTGGCTTAACTTAGTGACAGCCCAGGCATGCAGTTCTGAGTGGACCATGGCTGTCGCGCAGCTTGGCGTGAAGCGGTTGGAATGCAGCAGTGTCTGCGGAAAGGGCCAGATGGCAAGCTGTGTTGTCAGGCTTCTCGCAGAATTCCTGACACGAAGCCTATGCCCAACGGTGGCATCATACGGTGCCGTGCTGCTCTCGGGATTTGTGCCTTGCATTCTGATGGATGTGATTTTTTCAGAAGTTTAAAGAATTACACATGGTGTTGTCGGCAGGCTATAATACACAGATCATCAGATCCGTTTGACTGGCTTCATTACATGCTCCTGCTGAGCTTGAGGTCATGACAGCTTGCGATCGGTGCGAACAGCCTGAGAAGGCCTCGCACTGGGCAAGTAATCAGCTCCAGCTATTCAAGCTAGTCTAACATTTTGATGGAGATCCCTGATGAGAGCAACAAAGCGGTGAACTCAAGAAGAACTGGAATCGTCCGAAGGGTCTTGTACCTGTTTGGCTGGCTTGCCAGAGGTGCATGCAAATCCAAATGGTGGGCAGGTACTGAAAACTCTTCGCTCTTGCATTGCTAACATGCAGCCCAATGCTCCAGCCTCAGAATAGGCTTCTCTCGTAGTAGGGCTGGCTGTCCTTTTCCTGTGGTGTCGTTCAGCAGCGAGTTTTCTTGGGAGTTATCTTAGGCTGTAGCGCCTAAGGTTTCGTAAGCTTTCCGCTACAAGTGTTCGCGCACTCACTTCTGCCATCCTGAACCAGCAGAGATGAAAGATTGCAAAAGCACATCCCTGCACAACGAAATGTAGTCCGGTCACGCATGGATCGAAACCTAAATAACTTCAGCCAGTCGGCGGTGATGGGAACTTTGTCATCGACATGCATGATCCGCCATCAAAAACTCGACAAAACAATGGAGGTGGTGGCCATCAGCTTGGGTCTACGTGCCTGTGCATCCTGGCATGCAATCATGCCGGACATACTTGTAGGAGCTTCTCAAAATCGTCCCTAAGCAATCCCCCCTTTTCTTCAAGGATCAAGTATATGCAAGTACAACTGGTGCCCAGCAAGTGGCTCGCTGTAGGACACAGCTGGTTGGTGGGACACTGCCATGAGGCCTGTCCTCACGGATCTTTCGATGGGCTTGCCGTTTATTTGGTGTGTTGTTCCTGCCAATCAACTTCCTTGGTTCACTGGTTGATGGAACATGTAAAACGTTTGCCGGCAATTGGGTGGTGCATGATGCAGGCTGCTGCTGGATGCTGTGCAGGCCTCCTGGAAGAAGGGAAAGCCGAGTTCACTTGCATGTGGACATGCAGTGCCATGAAATGCTGCTGTTTGCACTTGGAACTTTGTGACTTGGGAGAAGCTGGAGCTAGTACGTTGCGCTGAACAATCCGGGGCTTCCTGTGCCTCCCTTTTTGATGACTAGCGGGCTAGCAACTGACGCAGGAGGTGATTTCAATGAAGAATGCTCAGCAACTCCTGTAGTGACACCGACGCCTTTTAAGCTTCAACTTCTGATTCAGTTCATGCCTTGGAGCTTTGTATGGCCAGAAGCTAGAAGACGTAGCCTCTGGACAGGCCAAGGTGCAGCTGGACGGTACTTGCTGTGACGCTGCGCTTGGAACCTGCCGTGAGGGCCACTGGCGCACGGTCTCGCGCCAAGCAGAACTTGAGTTCGTGTATGCATCGAATTTGCAGGGAGATTGCTCAAAGCTGGTCATGCTTGTCTCTGTATGTGCAGAACTCCCGGAAGTAGCGCAAAACTCGTAGAGGGTGTGCTGCCTAGGCCATGAGGCTGTTTGCAGATGCAGAGAGGGACGAGCTGCAAACTGAGGCCCTGAGCTTCCATATGACACTATCCTTGTAGTAGAAAATGAAATAGTGACGCGGTTGATGGTGATGATGTTGATGGCTGACGAAGAGCGGGATTACAGCACTGATTCGTGACGGGGCGCATGGATGCTGACAGTGGCCAGTGATAAACATCCTGCTATACCTGGGAATTGTGTATAATTTCTGATGCATCTGTAGGATCCCTCATGTGTGAGCACTTTGAAAAGCCCCAAGTCCTTGCATATCCAGCAGAAGGGATCCAGAACTGACCATTTTGTTCCAGGCCGGTGGGTGGGCCGCCATGGTGGCCACCTACAGCCGAGCGGGATGTCATGGAAGATTGCGGCTTCTGACTCGGGGGAGTTTGGTTTGGTGTTTGAGGTCTTGGTTTCAGGGCTTAGGGATGCTTACCATTAACTTATGAGGGATAAGTGGTCATACTTGTGAAGACAGGCCCGACTGCAATGAAAGGCTCATCTGAGCAAGCAGAGTATTCCAGGGTCGTCCGGATTCCCAAGAATATGGAAGACCTGTGTTACTGTATCCCATGGCAGACATTCAGGCTTGATGAAAGGACAGCACAAAGTTGGTAGGCATCAGGGCAAGATCAGTCCTGTTTATTTCTCCTTCAAGCGGTTCCTCCTCTTACATAGATTTAGAGCTGACCCCAGGGAAAAAATACCCCATGACATCAGGCCTGGCCGTCGCATTTTGGGTTTCAGGTGAAAGCCACACTTCATGTGAGATACCAAAGATCGGTACATTCGCGCAATACTTACCCTGTGGCGTTGTGGTTAGAAGAGAGAGCTTGCAGCCCACGCAGGAACCCCTGTCGTGTGGGATCCTGACTGGGACCCTCATCATCCCGTTGTAATCTCCGTGTATGCCTAGGGCCACCCCATTTTGAGAAACCGAGAAAACCCACATTTAAGTTGTTGGCTCAGGTTCCTCCTGAGTACGCTGAGAACAAGGGCTGCAGTTCGTCTTGAAAGTACCTGGCAGCTGCTGAGCCTGCGCCACCCTGCGTGAGACGGGCGAGGGCCTGCAAAAAAGCCAGCGTTTCTGAAAAATCGGGTCACTTCTTGAGGTTTTTGGGAAGGAAGCCCGATTATTAACACAGTCTTAAGTGCTCGAACGTGCATTGGCTTTCGGACCCTGCAGGTCCAGCAACGCAGAAAGTCAAGCTGCCTTTCACGGGAACGTCAGGTTGCATCATTGCCATGCTCTACACGGGCACGCGGCCGTTCAGTGTGTCCCAGCCCAAGCAGCCAGGGTTCACAGGTTGACACCTGTCTTCGTCCTCGTGAGTTTCAGAGTATGCCAGTGCCAGTGCAGGAGTTTTTCTCACCTTTAATTCTGCATGGGCCTTTGAGCTGTCTCAGGCATGAGAACCAGGAGCATCTGGCAATGATGGAGCGGCGCGGCGCATGATTCGTTGATGAGCTAGTGGTGTTAACTATCCTCATGCATCGTCACCAGGCTCCTGGAAGAACGGTTTCCAAAGGAAATGCTGCGCACGGTGCGGGGGCCTGCATCACCGCTTGCCATTCAATTCTTGAAAAAAGGGTCCAGTTTCAAGATGCAGTGCGAAATCCACATTATAGTATATTATAGTACAATCTAGTTTATTATACCTATATAACCCATTATAGTAGTTTCCATTTTATTTTCTATGATCACTATATAACCCTATTATACTATAGTAGTTTCCATGTTCTTTTTCATATATTATATTATATTATAGTGTATGTATTATGCATAAAACTGCTTTGAGGCCAGAACCATCCGGTCCGATCAGGAGGAGGCGATCAGGGGGACTGCAGAGTTTAGCTTTGCAGGCTTGGCTATGGGGTTGGTAATATAGGCATAATACAGGGTTATGTAGGGATGATAAGGATAATTTTATGATAATCTTGTAGACCTGGCGTAATATTGGGGTAATATTGGGCTGCATAGGGATAATGGTATAACAGGCTAGAATTCGGAGTATAGGGGTTATGTAGGGATAATGGGAAAGAACATGGAAACCGCT